AACATATACGCCCAAAAACTTGAAAAATATTAGGTGATTGCTTTTTAAAAATGCTATTTATAAAATTTGGTTTTGATTGCGACATTAGAAATATTCAGATTATAGAAGTTTTTCACATATGTTTTAAGATTTTAGAGCTTTTAAAAAGTACGGTAGAATGCAACAATGTGCTTGAATTTGTTTGCTTCTTCGTCAGCTTATTCGTTTGCAGACGGGAAAAATGGCGAACAACCATCAAAATACTGATTCAAAATACACATCTTTCACTGGACACACAAATGGGTGCGCGCAGCAAAATTCAGCCCTAATGGTAAGTTAATTTCATCACGCGGCCATGACAAGTTAAGAATTTGCGATACATTTTCAGGCGAATGTGTGCGAACGTTCACCGAGGGAAGAGGTATGGGACGACAGCTTGCTTGGCATCTAGACGGTAATCTGGTGGCTTTAGCATTAAGTTGTAACCGCGTTAAGATATTTGACATAGCTGAAGGCGAGCTAATACAGTGCATTCGTCGCCGCAGAATGATGTTGCATTTCACCCAAGTGGAAATTTCTTGGTGACTGGCGGCGGTGACAATACAATAAGATTGCTTGATTTATTAGAAGGTCGACCAATTTATACACGGTAGTAGTGTACTTTAGCGGAACCATATAATATAAATTTTTCCTGTATTCAACAGTTGCTCGTTTGGAAATCTAATTTGCATACATTTGATGCCAATAGCTCGCAACAAACAAGCCAGTTCTCAAAGAGCCCAAATTGATTTTAGTCATGCAGCAGCTCCACATAACTCCGCCACAGACACACCAGTTGTTGGAGTACCAAAAAGCTGTGATGACAGTATTTTAATTGATCCACGACAATCGGTGGCATATGGAATGCGTGATGGAAATTTTCTGGTGCTTGATAGCCAATATACTACAAGAGTGAAACGCTGTGATAGTATTTTTTCTTAAATTTCCATCTTTTATTTGCAGTTACATTAAGAATCTCATAGAGGACAGAGCGGTTGGTGAGGAAGGTGTCGAGTTACTGCAGTACCGCAACTGGGAAAATACGCATTTCGCACGTGCCCCACTCGTATGGAATAGTAGCTTATGTCAAAAGGCTGGTTTTAGTATAACGTGCAAGAAATAGTTCCGATACTAGCACGTCCATATTCTTGTTAAGGGTCATCAAAAAATTCCTTGTGTTGTAAATAATAAAGGGAATGCCGGATTATACTAAAGCCAGCTTCCCGACATAAACTACTATTCCATACGAACACAGAAATATAAATGTATCTAAAACTGAATAATCCAATTGGATTGCATTTGCATAATATACCTAATATTGGAATCTGTTTTGATCGTAAAAAATACAACTTGCAATCATTTAGATTATAGATTTGAAAGAAATTGATTGCAATCGTAAATTGTGTAAAAATTGTTAATAACAATCTGCCTTAAATTTATTTTCCCCATGTAACGGTTATAAAATACGTTAAATCCGCGCTATCTGCATTAACAAAAAATATACATTGGAATATTTAAAATAAAACGATTCATATTTATTTTCTAATAAGAATTGTTTCTTAATTGAAAGTATTTAATACTAATATAATGTAGTGGTTAATGTTTTAAAATTAATTCGCAATATGTCCCCAGCTCAGGTTGATTTGAAGAAATCCGTTTAAATTTTTCGAATTACATCTACTTGAATACAGGATAGGCAGGGTTGCATACAAATGGTAGTTCCGTAATTATTTAAAATATGTTAGTTCATTCAATAATTTGCATCTGGTTGGCCAGACAAATATAGCAGAAAAAAACAAAGTTTCGATTAAAACGAGTTTTTATAACCCCCCATAAAATTCCGATTTATTTTAAATACGAAAATAACGATATTTTTTCATGGAGAGGTATTTTTTTTAATATACCTTGTTTATACCTTCACAAAATCCGGATTAGCAAAAAACCAATTGGACTCAACATATATTTCTTTACAGCATTTATCTCCCTGTCTTTATAGCGCACTCGATAAAGTCTTATTCAAAAGTAAACAAAATCTGCTATTTTTAAACAACATTTTTTTAATAAATGATTTGCGCGGTTGACGGAAATGGAAACAAACAATAATTGTAATTTATTATAACAATAATTCGAATTTAAAACGGGCTGTATAAAGAAAACCAGCCTATTGTCACTTCACTTTCCAATGGTGCTGATTGCTACAAGAATTATTTAGCGATTTAGAGCATAATCAACACAATATATGCACATAAATATGTATTATTTCACAGTTCTCAGGGTAAGCTTAGAAAAACGTCACCAAAATTATATAAAATTTAAGTAGGAATTATTTTTATTTATAACGTAAAAGCGCTATCTGACCCAATCTGATAAGTATATTTCCGCTAAAGTTAACCCATTTTATTTAATTTGTCTCTCGTGAAAATATATATTTTATTTAGAATTTTCAAATATGTACATATATTTTAAATTTTTGCTTTAATTTTTGTCTTCTTTTAATATTTAATTAGATACCTTAAGATTAAAATAAGCTTAAAACGAAACAGCACAGCAACCCTTTTCTGTTCATCTTGAGAACACAAAACCCTCTTTTGTTAAAATTCGGCGCTGCACAAAATCCTGGCTTTTATATTTTCCAACAAAATACCACTTCGCAACCCTGGATTTTCACGAAGCGTTTCATTCGGGTCGTAGTTTTGCTACTTCGGGCCATTCGGTGTTGTATGCCATATTGGTTGCCATATTGTTCACACTGTCATCGCCATATTGAACACCATGTCAACTATCTGTCAACCCTAAGATATCTCACTTGTATTCTTCCACAATGATTGGAACAATTCGCAGACGAAAACGAAGAGAGTACGAGCGAAATCTTAGGAAAAGAAGTGCAAAAACGAAAAATGGGAAACGACGAAGAACAAGTAGCGAAATCCTTGCAAATAAACAGTGCCGATTTAACTGAGAACATTGTATCAATTGTGGTTCGAAAGAAAATAAAAGAGCACAGTGCAAAGAAGAAGTCAAATGTTTTAAATGCAACGGACATGGAAATATCTCTAAGAACTGTGGAAAAAGTGGCGAACAAGTGAACATTATAAAGCAGGAAAAGCGGTTAAAAAATATTTTAGTGAACGAACGGAAATTGCTAAGCTTTATTGATACAGGGTCCGATGTGTGCATTGTGCAAGAACATAGAATATATAAATCTTCGTAAAAGTGTTACAGTTGAAAATATCTGCACAAAGTTGTACGGGCTTGGAAACACACCTACAAAAACAAAAGGCTATTTTATTGCATGTGTTAAAGTTGATGAACGAGAAGTAGAACAAAAATTTGTTATTGTTTCAAATAGTGTAATTAAACATTCTGTTTTGATCGGAAATGATTTTATGAACAAAATCGTATGTACATTAAACGAAGAACAATGCTAAAATGTGTATCAAATAACCGAAGATCAAATTGACAATGGAAAAATTACAGATCAAAGTAAGAAACGTATTAATGAAATGATAACGTCAATAAAGACAACCCAAAAGAACTCGAACGACCAATTCAACTAATGATCATACCAGATAACGCAGTTGCTTTTAATCAGTCGCCGAGTAGATTACCACATGATCATCAATTGGCAGTAGAAAACCAAGATCAAGAGTGGCTAAAAGAAGGAATTGTGCGTAAGTCAACGTCAGAGTATGCAAGCCGTGTAGTCGTTGCAAAAAGGAAAGATGAGTCGTGTCGGGTATGCGTAGATTTTCGCAAATTGAATTCAATGATGCCTTAAGACGCATTTCGATGAAGTGCTAGAAAAATTACAGTGTACGAAATATTTTACAGTCATGGATCTAGAGAGGGATTTCTCCATGTACCTGTAGAAGAGATCAGCACAAAGAATTTGGCCTTTTAGTGAAATGTGGTGTTTACGAGTTTAATCGTGCACCATTTGGATTTTGTAACTCATCAGCAGCATTCATCACCTTCATTTTTGAAAATCCAATCAACGAAGGTATCATGGAGTTATACGTTGACGATATCGTTACCTACACTGAAACACTCGAAGAAGGGCTTGAAAAGCTGCAACAAGTTTTGGTTTGCTCAGCGAAGTATGGACTTACGATAAATCTTAAGAAATGTTAATTTTTAAGGCAGCGGATGGAATTTTTGGGACATATCGACGATCGAAAAGTTTCCAATGCCGAAAAATCTGAAAGCGGTTCAGTCCTTTCTTAGTTTAAGAGGCTACTTTCGTTAGTTCATCAGGGGTTACGCCGAAATAGCGCGGCCGTTAACAGAGCTAATAAAGAAGAAAGACCTAAGATGTACTATGGAAGGGATTCAGGTGCAAGCAGTACAAATCTTGAAGGTATGCTTGACTCAGGGACCAGTACTTCAACTCACCAATCATGATGCTTAAACTGAATTCCATACAGCGGCTTCGCAATACGGTTTCTTTGCAGTTTATATGCAGCAAGTAAACGACAAATTCCATCCAGTACACTTCTTGAGCAAGAAGACGTCGGCAACAGAGGCAAAACAGCACAGTTATTATTTGGAAGTTAAAAAGTTATCGGTTGGGCGTAAAGTTTACGTAAGTGACCGATTGCGCGGCGTTTAAACAAACAACAACGAAGAAGGAAATTCTCCGAGAAGTAGCGCAGTGGATATTTTACATGCAAGATTACGATTTTGAAACAGTTCATAGAAGCGGCGGCGCACTTAAGTATGCAGGTGCGTTAAGCAGGAATCCGCCTGAGGTGTTGTTGTGAACTCCGAAATGACAGCCCGAATAAAAAGAGCGCAAATTCAAGATGACCACTTAAAGGCGGTGGTTGAAATGTTGAAGACGGCGGCGTACAACGATTTTAAGATGAAAGGGACTTAATTTACAAAAACATCAGTGGAAATGATTTATTGGTGGTGCCAAAGTCTATGGACACAGAAATCGTTCGTGAAGCGCATGAAGTAAGCCACTTTGCAGCAAGGAAACGATGCACACGATTCAGCAAACTTATTTTATCTCACATTTGGAGCAAAAAGTAGCTGGTTTTACCAAAAATTCCGTCAAATGTATTATAAGCAACAAAAAACTTGGAAAAACAGAAGGCGAACTACATAGCATCGAAAAGGGTGATCAACCATTACAAACGTTGCACATCGATCATATAGATCTAATGGATGCTACATTAAAGAAGTATAAATACATCTTCTCCGTTATCGATGGCTTCACTAAATATGTGTGGCTATTCCCTAGTAAAACAACGTCAGCCGATGAAGTTATAAGCAAATCGTCGGAGTGGTCAGATATGTTTGGCTATCCACACCGCATCATAAGTGATAGAGGTCCAGCGTTTCAGTCGAAAGCGTTTGAGGACTTTTGTAATGAGTTTGGCATAAATCACGTACTATCAACTACGGGCCTACCAAGAGGCAACGGCCAAATCGAAAGGGCTAATCGAATAATCCTTTCGGTTTTGATGAAGCTATTGATAGACGATTCATCAAATTCGTATAAGCACGTTAGCTAGGTGCAAAATTTGAAATTTTACATGATGAATGGGTAGTCTTTTGAGGAAGAACGTCAAAAAAATTCGTGAAGAAGCAAGTAACCAGATCCAGAAAGCGCAAGCTACTTACAAAGCGAATTTCGATAAACGACGCAAACGAGATCACGGATACAAAATCAACGACTTGGTTGCCATAAAAAGAACTCAGCTCGTAGCTGGAAAGAAGCAGGCAAGCGAATATTTGGGTCCGTACAAGGTGACCAAAGTGAAGCGAAACGGCAGATACGACGTTGGGAATGCCCAAATGCGCGACCACCACTAATTCACAAGCGGAATTTATTCACTAGTCGAGTTAGGTCACGCTCAATTACAGTTGCCAGATTGTGGAGAGAGCACATATCTAAATCCCTAAAAAAAACGTCAACAATTGCCCATTGAAAACTTATTTTTTGCATGTAGTGGCAGTTTGCAGATTCGAATGATGTACCATACAATTAGCTATTATTGCCTCTCTTTAATCCAATTTTTGGTCATACATAAGCATATATACATATGTATGTATGTACATATTAGAGGTCTTCCCATATGCCATGTTCTGACCGACAACGAAAACACTTTGAAAACGACTTTGGGATTGTGGGCTGGAGGCTGTTCAGTAGGCTGGGTCGATTTTGTACGGGGCCAAATAAAAGGCATTTGGCTCAATTGTAATAGTAACATAATGATGTCTTAGGTCCAAGCCAATTGTTATTGGCCACGAAAGATTAATTTAAAAGTTATCTTTAGCCCGCGCAATTGAATCAAAGAGTATCAATTTTGAAAATGAAACTTTGGCGTTGTTATAAACAGGACGATATATCAAATTAAGTGATTAAATTTAGTACCTCACATTCATTCATCATTTTTCCATTAATCTACAAACTTTTAAGATACTAAGATAAAACTTACAAAAACTATAATTTTCCCTCATGAATTTTCAATTCTTCATTACTTCAGCAATCAATTGAAAAATAAAAAAAAGTGAGACGAGATTTATTTCAATTTTCAAGATCGAGGTGAATGAAGTCAAACATGTTTTGTCAAAGATTAGGAATCGTTTGATAAGTTAATATCAGTTTCAACATATAAGTATTTACATACATTAACATAATACAATTAGGGTGAGAAACGCCCATTTTAAGTCCATTTATGCAGTCTTGAAAATTGGTGCGGAATGGCTCCATTAGCGAAGAAGCACATTTTTCGCGGTTTCTAATTTTGCCGTTATATGAAAGTAGGGGACGTGCAATAAGTACGGTTGCCAGACGTACTGATTTTGTCAGTAAAGTACTGATTTTTCAACTCTTGTAATGATTTTATTCATTTCTTCAATCAGTACGCTAATGTCCTGATTTTTGAAAATTTGTACTGATTTATACTGAATTTTCAATTCAAACAAAATACTTTATGATTTTATTAAGGTTTTTACATAAAGTTGTAACTTCCTTAAACTCTACTGTAAAAAGTAAGAAGATAATTTTATTATAGTTGACATGTATCAGGTAATATTTGATATGCCCTAGAAATTATTACAAAAAAAAGATCAATCGTTTTATGAGCATATCCACGGGTCGTTACGTACCAGTTGCGATAACATGATGGAGGTTTAATTATTTGAAAAGAAGGCTGACATCTTTTTGTCGAGTGTTGCTAGTTATCTCGAAAATAACTTTCAGTTTAATAACAACAAATTTGAATATTCGAATGGCTTTTGTCTATAACTTACAATTTTTTTCACAATTTACTGACATTGTTAAAGAGGTTTGCAAAAACGAGACATAGAGTCCGATACTCTTTTTAGCGAATTCTTATTCTTTCAAAGTTTTTGCGTAGCTGAAAAAATTAATTTAAGCCATAAGGAATTATAGATGATGTCCTTAAATAGTGATACTTTTCCCCAGTTTAAAAATATATGTTTTTTTTTTTTAATTTATTTATTTTTTATTGAATCTGCCCTGCCCAAGAGCCTAACAATAAGTTTTCGAATCTTAATCTATTTACTTAATTTACATCCCCTAGTTGGGATGAGTATTTTCTTAACTGGCCCTAAGAAAAGATTACGACTGGGCTGGTAAGTCATTCCTACGTAGTCTTGAGGTCCTGTTGACACGCAATAAAGATCTTGCTAAATGATTTGGGTGCGCTAAAAGCTTCGATACATATTTCGTCTTCCGTTGTTCTATTTCGGTTCGTACTTCTGGTATTCTCAAGTCGCGGTGAATGTTCTCATTTCGCATATACCAAGGTGCCCCGGTGATTGTTCGAAGGATTTTAGATTGCGCACGACGAAGAATTTCGATGTTGCTGCTGCTCGCGTTTCCCCATAACTCACATTCATAGGTCCATATCGGTTTTAAAACTGTATTGTAAATAAGCACTTTATACTCCAGACTCAGGGGTGAGCGAGAGTTAATAAGCCAGTGGAGAGAATTAGCCTTCAGCTTGAGATGAGTCCTTTTAGCCACTATGTGGTTTCGCCAAGTAAGTTGCCTGTCCAGGTGGACCCCTAGGTAAATGACATGATTGCTTTGTGGTATTTGTACGTTGTTTAAAGTCAAGGGCGGACAGTTACTCTTATTCAGTGTAAATGTAACTTGCTTACATTTTTGCTCGTTCGTTTATTCGCCAGTTTGCGAGCCAATTGGTAACAGCTTCCATATGATTGCCTAGGAGCACAGTTGCTTGTAGAGGACACTTGGAGCGACTGATTATGGCAGTGTCATCGGCAAAAGTGGACATTATCAGGCGGTCGTTTGTAGGAATACCCGCGGTGTATAAGACATACAACATCGGGCCAAGGACACTGCCTTGTGGCACTCCAGCTACGATTGCATGGGCTTCAGAAATGGTGGTGTTACATCGAACTGCAAACATTCGATTATAAAGGTATGAGTATAAAGGGCCGTTTGCACCATGTCTAGTTAACGCTAACTGGAGGTACATCCTTCAGTTAAGCACGTTAACTGCTTTATCGGTGGTGATATGATGGGTGTCGATAACGTCGATAAAGATGTTTAACTGGGAGTTAGAATTAACTAGACATGGTGCAAACGGCCCTTAAGCAGTTTGTGTTTGCTTTGTGGGAGTAGCATTTTTGTTTTATACATAAGACCATCTAGCCAGACGCGGTCAAATGCCTGGGCGACGTCAAGAAATATTGCAGCGCAATATTCCCTCTTTTCAAACGCTGTTCGGATTTCGGTTGTTATGCGATTTACCTGCTCGATTGTTCCATGTTTTTCCCTGAAGCCAAATTGTTGAAGTGGTATTATATTGCGGGCTTCCAGATGTGGGGAGATGCGCAGCATAAGAAGTTTTTCGAATAATTTCGACATACGGTAGCAGGCTGATGGGCCTATATGAAGATGGCTGTGTTTTGTCCTTTCCGGGCTTTGGTATCATCACAATAGTCGACTTTTTCCATTGGTGAGGGAAATGATAATGTTTAGTGATTGCGTTAAATAGCATACAGATGTAAAGTACACCACAATTTGGTAGCTCAATAATCATTTTTGGGGTTATTAAGTCGTGCCCTGGGGCCTTATTTGGTTGCAGTTGATCCTTAATTACTTTTGAAATTTCTTCAGGTACAAATTTCAGCGGCTCACATTTTGACACATTGGGTACGGGTGGAAGTTGAAAATCATTAGTTACGGGGTTTGGCCTAAAAACATTTTTTAGATGAGAAGCAAAGGTGTTTGCTTTTTCGCCGTCACTCCGAGCCCATTTGCCATTGTGGTCCCGTACTGGCATTTCAGTCTCTATTGGCGCATTTAGCTTGTGGTGTGCTTTCCATAACGAGTGCTTTGTGCTAGTCGGTGAGAGCTTTTGGATGTACCGGTACTGTGCGTACTGTTCCTCGTTCTTGAGGGCTCTCGTCAGTGCATGTTGGGCCGCCTTGAGCAGTTGTTTTGATGCTGGTGATCTATGAGTCTGCCATATCCGTCGTAGGCGTCGTTTTTCCAAGACAAGCATTTCAATTTTCCTATTGGTTAAATTATATTTTTTATTTTGCACATAACCTTTCTGGGGCGTGGAAATGCTAGCGGCTGCTCTAAGTGTAGATTCAAGACTATGGAGTTTTCAATATCGGTCGGCGTATCTAAATTTGGATCGAGGTCTATATGCGCACTGATATATTTTTTATACTTTAACCAATCTGTAGCCCTTGTCGTGAGCATATAGGGTGACTCTTTTTCTTGCGGCTGATGCCACAAGGTGAAAAGTACAGGTGAGTGGTCTGATGAGAGATCTGCAGCTGATTCTGTACTAATAAGGCCGCGAGGAATTTTCCTTGTCACCACAAAGTCAATCAAATCTGGCAACTTTTGCGGGTCTGCCGGCCAATATGTAGGCTTTCCAGGAGAAGCGTAATCGAGTTTGTTTCTTCTACATATAAGCGCGTTATATAATTGCTTGCCTTTAGGGTTGGACAAGCGTGAGCCCCAGTGAGGGTGCTTCGCATTATAATCACCTGCAGTAAGGAAGCGCTCTCCCAGCGAACTGAAGAAATCCATAAACTGTTTTTCTGTTATCGTGAAACGTGGGGGACAATAAACCGCGGGCAGCGTAATATCACCTTGCTTTGTTTGTACGCATATTGATGTTGCTTGCAGATAATTCTCGGAAATTACAGTCAAATGATGGTGTTTAATCCGGTTTCTGACTAAAATACCAGTTCCGCCATGCGCCTTTCCATCTGGATGATTCGTGCAATAAAAGGTATATCCCGAAATGTCAAAATTATATCTATTAGTTAGGTGTGTTTCAGCAAGGAGCATTATGTCAATTTCTTGTCCTTAAGAAATTTTGATAGCTCTAGTTTGTGGCGAGGAATGCCATTTGCATTCCAGAGGTCTATTTTAAGTAAGGTCATTATCTTGTTTGCTGAGTAGCAAGCAGGTTGAGCAGCGTATTTTGATTTCGCATGAGTTCTTGCATTGTGTTTTGCGTGAAAGTCATGAAATTCATCATGCTTTGTTGCATCGACGCTATCATAGCTTCGATATTGGATTGTTTACCATATGGTGCATGGGGATGCTGTTCTTGCGGCGCAACTTGAGGTGCAGTTTTTGTAGGGGCACGGTTTTCTAAGCTTGATTTTAAGGCACTTGCAAACGAGACGCCATTGACGGTGTTTGATAGAACTGTTGGCGACGTGGCTCTTTTGGCGAAGAAGACGTCAGGATTCGTTTGGGAGGGTACAAAGGCATTCGGTACATTATGAGTACGTATGGAAGCCACGCGTTGGTTGATCCGGTTTTTTAACTCCTTATAGACTGGACAGCCTCTGTAGTTTGCTGTGTGATTTCCACCGCAGTAACTACATTTTTTTGCACGCGGGTCTTCTTTGGTTGATGTGCAAGTGGCAGAGACATGTAGCTCTCCACAATCTACGCACACTGAGCGAAGCGTGCAGTAAGACCTAGTATGACCATACTCCTGGCAGTTGGTGCATTGTACAGGGCCATTTCTCTTATGCGGTTCTTCCACAGTTATCCTACGATGCAGCAGATATTGTAATTTATAATTTGGATGCACATCGTTTTTGCCCAGAGGTTTGTTTTCAGGCTCGAGCTCAACTTTAAACATAGGTTGAGGGATTTTGTTCCTATTTAAAATATTCACAGCAGTTTTTGGATTGAAACCTTGTTCTTTAAGTGCTTCCAAAACTTCCACAGCTTCAACGCTTGGTTCGATACCTTTAATTACAATTTGTAGATAGTGGGATAATATGAAACTTATTACTACCGATTAGCTGTGTGAATTTTTTTACAAGAGCGCTTGGATTCTCTTCTCTTATAAAAATGGGCGGAGGTTTGGCATTAGTAGCTTTTGCAGCACCTTCAGAAATTTGGCTATTCACATCATCGGCATTGTCACTTAGCAGTGCAAATCTATTCGTACTGACTTGCTGAGTTGAGGTAAGGCGGTTTATTTTTGTCTTACTGCCCGTTGAATTTTGCGGACTAAGTTTTCTTTTTATTGTAATATAGCGGTCCATTCCAGTCTGTATGGCCGCATTTTTAGTTGTTTCGTTTTTCAACTTTTCTTGCGCTTTACCTTTGTTGCCAGTGCTTGCACTCAAGTTAATTTGTGCTTGTGCAGCAAGAGTAGGCTGGGCTGTTGACACCGCTGTGCAGTCGGCAGGTACCGGTGTGTTTGTTGTTGTTGTTGGCGCGATAGAGGTTCTAAAACATGTCACTGTACTAGTTGTTGTTGCCGCTATATTTGGGGATTTGTTATCGCCGAATTTGATGTAAGCGTTGGGCGTGAAATGTGATACGGCACAGGTGAAGCGCACTCTTCACTCCAAGACATCGGAGTCGTCAATGGTAAGTTTGGAGGACAAGTCCGCTGACCTGAATCTTGAGGGGGTTTGAGGGTGGTCGATGGATTGGGCTTTGCGCTTTCGCTGTCACTCTGGGACCGAATAGAGAAATATGCGTTGTTGCGTTGAACTGAAAGCCGGCGCTCATTTTGCTCGCGTTGCTTCTGAGCTCGGATTTCAGCTTGACTCATCGCTTTCTGTTTTCATTTGGTTTGTTTGTTTATTTTTTTTTTTTTTTTTTTTTTTTTTTTTTTTTTTTGTTTTATTAAATTAGCACAATATTTAATGACTACGGAGCGAACTTAAAAACAAGTCCGCACTCTTCGACTGTCGTTAAAAAATATGTAATTTTGCTTTTTGTTCATAAGCACACTCAAACGAAGCAACTGAGAGCATCTTAAGTATAAAGTTTGTTTCCTGGGAAAAGAGAGAAACCGGCTTCAAATTAAAAATGTTTAAAGTGAACTTCAAATGAAAAGAAATTTTAAAGTGAAATATATAGAATTCTTTGACTATTTAAATACTGAAGACGGAAATGATCTCATTATTGCTATTAACAAATGTCATAAATATGAGCTACTGTGTACAATGATGTGTACACTCATGTTAATATTTATATACCAAAATATTGTGAAAAACTAATACTCTGGCGTTTTAAAGTATTATCTAATACTTACATTCATAATTTTGCTTTGAATAAAAATGTACTGAAAAGTACTGATTTTTTTAGCATGAAAAAGTCTAACGTACTGATTTCGCGCATACAAAATCTGGCAGCCCTAGCAATAAGTGTTTCGATATACATACTTAAACATTTAAGTTAATTTCATTATGTGAAAAAGTGACTGCAGGCAAATGCAATAGTCTTTAACATATCCTGGGAAATCCTTCTGAGGACTCCCCAGTTGGACGGTAATGCTTTGCATTCAGCTTGAACGAGGAAAGTCACTCGCAGGCACACTTTTCTGTAATCTGGTTCTTCCATTTAAAGGTTATTTATACAATTGAAGAGAAATTTATTTAGAAAAAAACTGGAGATCCACTTAAGTTTTCCGATATAACTTAAGTAAATGTTACCTGTTCATTGTTTCCATACTAATTTTCATAAACAAAATTCTATGATGGAAAATAATGGCTTTTCTATAAGAGCTACCGATATTGTTCCATAATTTGCAAAAATTCGCAAACTATAGCTAATATTAAAAAAAGGTTAGAATATTTGGAACCAGCGACACCTTTTGACTATAGGCCAGTGCAATTATCAAGAAAACAATTAAAATTTTATTGAAAACAGATAAGTTTGAGATTAATGATAAACTAAAGGGCTGCGAGAAATGATATTTGATTATATCTTTTGCATTAAATGATTCATTAACTAATAATATGCACCAAAATTTTTTGCTGAACCCAAAACTTTTAACAAGAATTGGTCTTATTCGACTAGTGTGCTGTGGGTCACTTGGCGGCCGATGCGCGGGCTCTTAAAATTCAAATAAAAGACTAATATTTTCCAGGTGACTTCATGATACAATATATTTTCACTATTACCAAGACATTAGAGAAAAATTAGATTTTCGACCCGCCCTACTGTTCACACCGGCTGTTAGTGTTTTCGTTGACATTTTTTGCATCCTCTGATTACAGTTTTGCTACAGAAAAACAAAACCAAAATGCTTTTCCCTCATTTTCTTTTCATAAGCAACCTCTTACTCTCACTCTTAGTTTACTTTGGCCAGCCAATTAGCAATAAACCCGAAATGACATATTAAAGTTGATAAAATATGACTTCCACTTCCATAAATAATCAGAAAAAACTAGTGCAGACACCGATTGGAATGAGTGGGGGAGTTATTAAGTAGTTTTCAGCGAAAACTGATTTTCGTTCGACAGATTTTACATGGACGAAAACACAAGTTTTAGGTCGAAATCCAGTTTTAGCAACGAAAACATGTTTTCGATGTCGGTCAGAACATGGTAATAAACTCGCAAAAGCCTCGTAAAACTCGTTAATTTACGAGCCTTGTAAAAGAACTGTCAAAATTTGTATGGAGCTCTATTTACGAGCCTTTCGAACATTTACGAGACAAATTTGGTGCGCAAACGAGCTCGTAAACTTCGGTGTTGCCGAGGGGCAGAAATTTTTATACAGAAATCTATGATAAAGTAATGAAAATCAATGAAATAATAGTACGTGAATAAAATGGGCAAGGAAGGGATCTTTGGAACCACCGTCGGAAAATTCAGCCTCCACGACGAAACGTCCGACAACGGATTGAGGCTGATCGACTTCGCCGGGGCCCGAAACATGGTAGTATGCAGTACTAGGTTCAAGCATAAAAAGATCCATCAAGCTACGTGGCTGTCTCCGGATCGAAAAACTAGAAACCAAATCGATCATGTTGTGATAGACGGAAGGCACGCTTCCAGTGTTTTAGACGTACGCACTGTGAGGACCAAATATCCCTGAGGAATTTAGCCCACACAAGCAATACGACACCGCACAACAGCCAGTCAAGCAACACAACTCATAGCAACACAACTCGTAGCAACACCCGACAGCATCTTTGTGACCATGACAACGAAACATCACACAGCAACATGTGGCTGCACGACCACGCAACATCAAGTACGCAGCCCATAAAATATAGAGCACAGCCAGAAAACAGGCAGTCAGCACGGAGCTGTGGTCGCGAGTGAACGACTACAGTTGAAGGGAGCGATAGCTTGCGAGTGGTACACACACCGCAAGACATCACCTCTCAAAGGTAGAAAAACCATATTTGATAGTGAGAACTACCGCTGAATGGAGCGATTGCTTGCGAGTGGTACACACACCGCAAGACATCACCACTCAGAGTAGTAATCATTAAAAACGGTTTCGATCGCCGCTCGCCACTGTCTACCGCGAAGCCGCGTACGAACGACCTCCGCTCGTCGTCGTCAGCAGCGCAACGTCAAGCGCGCCAGCAAGAGCGCTATCCGTCGCCGCCAACAGCGCACCCGCAAGAGCGCTACCCGTCGTCGTCAGCAGCGCAATGTCAAGCGCGCCAGCAAGAGCGCTAACCGGCGCCGTCAACAGCGCAACGCCAAGCGGGCCAACCGGAGCGCTACCTACAGTCGCCAGCAGAGTCCCACTCACAAGGGCATTACTCATCGGCGTTAACCGAGCGCCTCTCATCGTCGCCGCCGACAGCGCAACACCAAGCGCACCCGTAAGAACGCTACCCGTCGTCGTCAGCAGCACCACGCCAAGCGCGCCAGCAAGAGCGCTATCCGTCGCCGTCAGCAGCGCGCCACTCAACGGCGTCAACAGAGCGCTGCTCACCAGAATTGAAGCCACGCCACTACCGCCTAACGGGCCCATAACGGGACAGGGAGCCGTTACCCAACCACTGCAAGTGACGCCAGCAAGTTTTGTTATTTGTTATATGTTCTTTATAGAAATTAAGAAAATTAAATTAATAAAGTGCGATTTACCAGAGCCCCGAAACTACAAATTTATTGTAACGAACCCTGGACACGGCGAGTATACCCCAGCATTGTAGAAGAAGCGGCGGGGCGATAAAACGCTTCGTTACAGCACACTCCGTCCGTCTGCTGGCCAACAGGAAGAATGCCCGAAAATTTTACCAGAGAGTTAGGCGACTTACGGAAGGTTTAAAGACCGGGGCGTACTCCTGTAAGAACAATAATGGCGACCTAGTAACTGATGTCCAGAGCGTACTTAAATTATGGAGGGAACACTTTTCCGCCCTACTAAATGGAAGCAGCACGGAAAGTTGTGGAGAAGAAGAACCCGAGCCCGCAGTCGATGATGACGGAGTCGACGTTCCACCGCCTGAATATGACGAGGTACGTATAGCAATAACGCGGCTGAAAAACAACAAAGCTGCTGGAGCTGACAGCCTGCCAGCTGAGCTATTCAAGTACGGCGACGAGGAGTTGATAAGGTTCATGCATCAACTCTTGTGCAGAATATGGTCAGATGAACGCATGCCCGACGACTGCAATTTAAGTGTGCTGTGCCCAATCCACAAGAAAGGTGACCCCACCATTCGCGCCAACTACCGCGGGATCAGCCTTCTAGGCATAGGTTACAAGGTCTTATCGAGCGTACTGTGTGAAAGACTTAAGCCCACCGTCAATGAACTGATTGGGTCTTATCAGTGTGGCTTTAGACCTGGAAAATCCACCATAGACCAGGTATTCACAATACGCCAAATCTTGGAAAAGACCCGCGAGAAAATGACCGACACTCACCACCTATTTGTCGACTTTAAAGCCGCCTTTGACAGCACTTAAAGGAGTTGCCTATACGCCGCTATGTCTGAATTTGGCATCCCCTCAAAACTTATACGGCTGTGTAAAATGACTTTGAGCAATACCACCAGCTCCGTCAGAATTGGGAAAGACCTCTCCGAGCCGTTCGCCACAAAACGGGGTTTCAGACAGGGCGACTCCCTTTCATGTGACTTCTTTAATCTGATGTTGGAGAAGATAATAAGAGCTGCAGAACTGAACCGCTCAGGAACAATTTACTACAAGAGCGTGCAATTGCTGGCTTATGCCGATGACATCGACATCATCGGTAACAAAAACCGCGAAGTCTGTTCTGCCTTTTCCAAGTTGGATAGGGAAGCAAAGCGAATGGGTCTGGTGGTAAACGAGGACAAGACGAAGTATCTCCTGTCATCAAACAAACAGTCAGCACATTCACGCCTTGGCACCCACGTCACTGTTGACAGTTACAATTTCGAGAAAGTAGAGAATTTCGTTTACTTGGGAACCAGCATTAACACCGATAATAATGTCAGCATTGAAATCCAACGCAGAATCACTCTTGCCAACAAGTGCTACTTTGGACTGAAAAGGCAATTCAGGAGTAAAGTCTTCTCTCGACGTACGAAAACCACGCTCTATAAGTCACTCATCATGCCCGTGCTGGTATATGACGCAGAAGCATGGACAATGACAACATCCGATGAGGCGGCTCTTGGAGTGTTTGAGAGAAAGATTTTGCGGAAGATTTACGGGCCTTTACGCGTTGGCGACGGCGAGTACCGCAGACGATGGAACGATGAGCTGTATGAGCTTTACAACGATATGGACATAGTGCAGCGAATTAAAATACAGCGGCTCCGCTGGCTTGGTCATGTCGTTCGAATGGACACCGACGCTCCAGCTCTGAAAG